GACTGGGAATGTACAGAATTATGTTTTCAAAAACAAGTTGACAGTATAATGACCAAAGAGTTAGAGCAGATTAAAGCATAAAACATTGTAAGTTTTTAAATTGATTAGTTTCAAAAAATACGTAGTTTTTAATTTTTTTTTGTTTCAAGTAAAATTGGACACGAAATATTTTATTTGTGTACAATTTTAACTCCTACGATAATTGTAGCCGGTCCAAACCCGGATAAAGGATGAAGGTTTTAACTTTTATAATTTATTTAAGTTATAAAACGTATAAACTGTACAAATTTTAAATTCTTTTAAGTAGAAAATGTAGATTTTACACAAAAAAAAAAGAAACAAAAATTCGAGCCGACTCGGGCCGAGCCTAATTTTTTGGCTGGGCTCGGATCGACTTGACTCGGGCCAAAAAAGCTCGAGCTGAGCCTGACCTTTTTTTCCGGCTCGACTCATTGACATAGCTACAAGCAATTATAACACTAGACATACATAATAAAGAAAACTTCCCGCAACAAAAAAAAATCAGTGAAGAACATAAAACCATGTGATTCCTAAACTCTAACACAGCACCGTACTAATACTCCAAAATCCAAACACAGTTTTCAAGGGCAAAAATTTGTTGGTTAATCAAAGCTCATATTCATTTCTTAGGAACCAAGCCAAGCCTTATCGGACACTATACTTGCAGAAACTACAAAATCAAAGAAGTAACAATAACTATAAGTACAAGGAAGAACCCTTTTTTCCCTAATTCCTATAAATCAATTGGTGCTTATCACCAGAAACAAAACACTATAGATATCCTTTGTGGCTCCGATAGATCTTTAGGTTCCTTATTATTAGGTAGTATGAAACAGATCATTTATACTTCAAATCAAATCACTAGTAAATGTAATACTAGGGTCGTTCATCGATTCATATATTCAGATTCTAACCATTTCATATCTAATGGGCAACAAAATTCATACAAAACCACTTAAAACAGATACTAACTCATGTAAATTGAAAATATTCATAGTAAAAATGTAAGGGCAATAGAAAAAAACTCATGGTTCAGAGTCAACATTAATAAAATTCAACACATTAATAAATTCCTAAATCCTAATCAGAGGACAAAATCAAACCATAATTAAGCAGTGAGGACGACAGCTCCACCAGCTTCCTTGATCTTCTTCTCGGCAATCTTCGACACGAGCTTGGCTTTCACCACAACGGGTTGACTCGGGGGTAGAACACCCTTACCTAGAACCTTAAAGTACCCAAACTGAGTCACGTCAATCACGGGGGCTGAACCCTTGCTCTTCTCGGCCTCTGCCTTCACTTCGGGAGGGAGGAGTGACCAGATTTTGTCGATATTGACGGTGGGGCAGAAGAACTTGTTGCGGAGCTTGTGGAAGTACCGCATACCGACTTTACCGAAGTAGCCGGGATGGTACTTGTCGAAGAGAATACGGTGGTGATGCATTCCTCCGGCGTTACCGCGACCTGAGGGATGTTTGCGGTGTTTTCCGATACGCCCATGACCGGCGCTCACGTGGCCGCGCTTCTTCCGGTTCTTCTTGAAGCGGGTCGTCATTTACGTGAAGTGGGAGTAGCGGCGAGTAGGGAGGAAATGATGGTTAGGGCTAGGGTTAGGGTTTCTGAGGGATTTATACAGATCTAAATGGTTTAAGGGGGAAGGGTTTGTCATTTGTGAAGTTAAGATTAGGGTTTTGTTGAAATTGCGGTATTGCCCTCAACGGATCACCAAATTACGAAATTGACCCTTCTTTTCTTATTTTTTTTGATTAATATTCGATTTTTTTTTCCTTTTTATTAATTTCCTAATTTTATATATTAGAGAAAAGATTGGACTTCTCTTTTGTATGAATTTGAATATTTGACATAAGGAATTAAGCCTCGAAAATGTGTGACGACCTAATTGTACTGCTTCACTTGTGAAATGTCAAGAAAATAACACATAAAAAATACAATAAAAAATCCAAGAGAAATTCGTAACAAATAGCGATTTTTATTTTTAATGTGAGAAAATTATTGCACACCTTTAAAAACGTAGGAGAGAATATAATCCGACTTCTCATTTACTTTCTCGTAATGAAATAATTACTAAATCATAAACTAAATAAAATTTTGACGTCTGTTATTTTTTATTACAAGTACATCCAATCTACCTTACTCCAACCGTATCAAAACATTGTAAAGAGGAAATAAAATAAAATTAACATGACATTATAGATGGGAGATATTTCGAAAAAGATTAGAATACATTAAAGATCCCAAATCCATTGTTCATCTTGCAGACTGATGTACACTTCCCAAGCTATGACTATGAGGGAACACATGACAACAATTGGCTAAGACTACCAAGGCCTCCTTGTACCACCAAGAGGGATCGTGTTCGACCCAGATATCCCATGGTTGCCAAATCTTCCTCGACCACCAAAACCTCCTCGACCTCTGGATCGGAAGTTGCTTCCGGAAGCTGCCAGCAATGAAATGAGAATACAACAAGATCAAATACCGCAAGAAATAAGGGCCAACAACCAGGTATCGCATATCCAAAGATATTTGAGTTCAAAAACCATGTTACTATAACGTAGGATGCCATACACTATGACAATAAGATGGGTAATGTGTTTGATAATTTGTATAAATCATATGTAATATTAGCTAGGAAGACATTACAATAAACAACATTTTAGCGGTTCTCTGTTGTGTGTACAAACATGGCGCGTGCCAATTTGAAGCACGTATAATTCACTCGGTTTTTGATTCAGAATGACTAGAATACAACAATACTAACCTCCTCCACTTGATCGGGCCATCGCAGCCAACTCAGGAGGAACAGCTTGTCCTGCTTGTTGCAGGATCTTAATTAGTTCTCTTGTATACTTGGCATTTCCGTGGGTAAAAAATGTGAAAGCAGTTCCTTTGGCTCCTGCACGACCAGTTCGCCCAATCCTGTGGACATAATCCTCGAGACTTGATGGGAAGTCGAAATTGATGACACATTTTATGTCCTTCACATCTACATAAAGTAAAGACACAATACAATACAATTAATAAAATATTAGTGAAACTCTCGTCCAAAAAAAATTAAAATAAAAATAGTGGAACAAAACATAGAGCATGCTTGGCTTGGCTAAGCTTAAAAAAAGTACAGTTACTTTTAAACAACTTTTTGTCACCACATATGTTACTCTTTCTAAAGTAACTACTACCTTATTATCAAAATAATTTTTCTGCATCTATGACTAATATTCTTATTTTGAAACTTATTTCCTTATAAGTTAACTATTTAAGCTTCTCCAAATAATTCAAAGCCACCTTATCCCTGCACTCCTAGGATCCAAGGAATCGTATGCAATATAAACCACATTTGTTAACTGTGACTACCTAATCTTGCAGGGATAAGGACCAGCCAACCGTCGTAAATTTCAAAATCAACCCATCCAATCAATGAACAATCTCGTGTGAGTCAACCGGCTGTCACTAGTACCAGCTCCATAACTGTGGATGGGCGGCGTCAACATCGTGTTACTCAATATAGGAGTAGCCACAAAACCCTCAAAGTCAGCATCCTATGTTTACCAGATCCTCAATTCTGCGCGTCAGAAAAGAACATCACACACGACAGCATAATAACAGAGTCTTCTGCACCCAAACCACAATATTCTCGGGAAGATGGAGAACAGCCGGAGACTCAACTATGTTTAGAGTTGGAAGGTTCAAAATGAGAGACTAAAAGTTCCTAAGCCAAAACACTTATCCTACCAAGACCACGAGCAGCCACATCAGTGGCAATCATTATAGGACTTCTGCCACTCTTAAACTCGGCAAGGACTCGATCCCTTTCATCCTGGCTTTTATCACCATGAATGGATAACGCTGGCCATCCATCCATTCTCAGCTGTCTTGTAATTTGATCACAACCTTTCTTTGTTTCCACAAAAATTAAAATTTTACTTCCATCCATCACGTCTTTCAGCAATCTGATCAACCTGCAAGAAGGCCCGTATGGTGAGAGACCATAATCATAAAAGCCAAGGATCAACACTTATATTACGAGTGTCACCTGTTATATTTCTCCGAATCTGTCATAATTTCAACAACTTGTTGTATAGATAGATTTGCTTTCAGGTCTGGAGACCCAATGATAACCTGAAAAGTTTTAGGTACAAAAGAGAGCAACAAGTGAGGATGTGGACCCAAATTAACCATCTGAGACCTTTACATACGTCATACAAAGCATAATTGTGATGGGGAAAAAGAATGTAAGAGAAACCTTATAAGAATTGCGCAGAAATTGCCTTGCTAGAGTTTCCACCTCCCTTGGCCACGTGGCACTCCAATACAAGGTTTGCCTATCCGGGCGAATCTGCACCAGGACAAAGTATTTGTGAACACAATTAAAAGAAATTGATAAAAGATAATTTCTGCATATAAATCAAGACTAGGCAAGAATGAAATTTCATGAATGCATAGAAATAGTGAATGGGTGAAGGTTGCTTCAGTTAGGAGTTGTCATCCAGATGGCAGGCAGGGAATATAAGCAGGGTGCTAGAACTGCTTATAATTTAGTACCCATGGAGGAAGCAGAATCCATCTGGCATGTAAACAATAGTGGATAGGTTTTTGTCAGTTCACGAAATTCCTACTTGGAGGGTAGCACCTCATGTTGCACCCGGTTGCTTTGAAGGAAATACAAAGTTGTTCAGAAATTCCATTCTGGAGACTTACGTATATATTTTTTTTCCCTTTTGTTTGGAGTTAACATTTCATCTCCACCTGTAAAGACTTGTGGATTGATTTTTTGTGAGGTCCTTCTGTTTTGCACATACTGAGTAATATACTCCTTGTACACGGGCATGATGCCCCCTCTTAGTCCTTTCAAGGAAAGAACAGGATCTAGAAAAAAATTTACGCACATAATAGAACCTGCCATATACAGTTTACATAGTTTTGGCACAAGTTATTGAAAGTCGAAATTGAGGCACATCCAAAGTGTTCCAGAATTTTAAAAGCTACGCACACATAGTTAGTTAAGAATTAAATATCTTAAGCTGGGAAGTCTTCATTGGGTTGTTAATTCAATAGATGCCGATTGTAGGAAATAAGCAGAGAGTCAGAATTGTTAAGATTGATCATATAATAGACTAAACATCTTGAGATGCCAAAGACTACAAGAAAACTATGCCATAGTCCTAAATAAGTTGGGGATCGGATAGATAAATATCTTTTGCCATTCTATTCAATTCATCAATTAGTTCACCAAAAAAATAAAAAAACCAATGAAATAAAATCTTTCACAAACACGTCAGACCACATTAAGCCTCTGTTTGTCTTCCATTAAAAAGAGTGTTTTAGGGAAAATGAGTTTTTGAATAGTGATTCTTTTTGGAGAATTTGCGGTCAAAAAGTAGGAAAAAGTTTGGGGTTTACATGCAAAATATTTTATTGTGTGAATGTGTATTTAAAAATGAGTTTGACATTAAAAAAAAAAAAAGTTTTGATTTAATGGAAGAAAACATGGGCTAATTTTGGTCGACCACTCTATTTCCAGTGAACATGTTTTAATTTACAAAGACAATATCTTCTTGTGAATGGGAGATTCTTTGGCATACAAACGACATGTCACAACCACCTAACTTGCCTTTTCTGTTATGTTATCCTTGGTGCTACGTTCGTCATTCTTTATTCTCATTTATGATTTTATCCATTCTAGCATAATAACACATCCATCTTAGCATCCTCATAATCGAGAATCTAGGATGTCAAATAATAACAGAGGTAAAATAAGTGTGAGGAATTACTATCATGAGGTGAGTGGTCAAGAAGCATTGCCAGGATGAAGTCTTTTCCTCAGATGTATGCACAGTTATTGATGTAAAGGACAAAAGCATTACCATATCCCACTATAAAAAGTCTATAGCTTAACTATTGCAAAAAAGTGCAATATTAATTGATGGTGCAATGAAGACTGGTAACTCTTAATTATAACAAGTGGTCCTTACAAATATGAATGATATTTCAAAGTAATATTAAAGATGTATGTCCAATAAGTCAGAAGAACAAGGACCACCATTTCGCACTAGAATTTCTACTGTGCATCTAGAAACTCTTACATTTATCACATTCTACTGTCTTCAGTTTTTCCACCTAGAGAGAATTTTTTTAATTTCCCAGAGATGAAAAAATTGTCATTAGATTAATGTTTGCATTTCTTTCAACAATCATTGATAGAAAGGGTAGATCCTATTTTCCACAGTAGATGATTTTGATTGACTCACAAAGGGCAAACAGCAGTTACATAGTTATTATCTGATGAAAAATTACCATTAAATGATCTCCTATTTCAAATCACTGGTTCTGGCACTTTAAAATACAATAAGAAACAGATTAGAGAGATCGGACTAGGTGAGTGTTAGGAAATGAAGAAAAAGTTTTGAATTCTTTATGATATTGTCGCAGAGGACTAAGAATTAACACTGCAAGAATGACATCGTTAAAAAGAAGGTTGAAACCATGAATTAAATCAGCATCTTTTATTTGATGGTTTCAAAGAAAAATAAAAGAATCAGGACAAAGGGATCTGCATTTTCATGTCCTATTTCGATATAATGATGATTACATTCTGTCCAGCATGAGGAACTTACTCTATTTAAGTTCTGCATGGGCTAAAGGCTAGATACAAAAAAAAACCTGTATAGACACAACATAAACTCCGCACTGGAAAATCCCATCACTAAATGGATAATGAACCCAAATTATACTAGTTAATGAAAAATCTCCTTAAAATGGCACAATGATGTAGTAGTTGGACATTTCTGTGAGATCTCCAAGATGTTGACATAACAAATTTTAGGTACTCTTAGCCAGGAGGGACAAAAAAAAAAAATCTGTTGGGTTGGGGGGCAGAGGCCTCCCCCCTCCCTACGCCCCTGACTCTTAAACACTTCCTAGTATTAAAATCAACTGAACCCAGAAATTAAATGGTTCATGTAAGCATTGATTTTATGTTGGTTTAGTTGCCAGATAATAGCAAACTGTAACATGGTGGTCCAGTTCCCTACTAATCTAACATTCCAGTACTTGGATTTGGTCATAAGCACCCAATCTATCGAAGTTGAATATATGTGCTATAAAAGTGGCAGACGTGATTAACCTCAAAACAAAGTTAAAATTATAAAGATAATTCAGCTAGTGGATTTGCACTATCAAGAAACTGGGAGAAGCATAATGACTCTCTAACAGAGGTAGCATTCGACAAACTAAGTTAACTTGTCCAGATAGCTTCTCTACTAAATGAAGTACGGCACCTACTTTGCATTAGCAATCTGTAATAATTAACTAAAAAGGTCTGTAACATCCAAAAATTAAACTAAAATTCCATGATGTTACTCTCAGAAAATGGACACTCGAGGTAACTAAGTCTGCTCACCTGGGAAACAATTTTCCTGATTTGGGGCTCAAATCCCATATCCAGCATACGATCAGCCTCGTCCAACACAAGGTAAGTCACTCTTCTCAAGTTTGTATGTTGAGATTCCAGCATATCTATCAATCTTCCAGGAGTAGCAATCACAATTTCAACCCCTGTATAAATAATAATAATTGAAAAAAAAAAAAAAACTTTTAAAAAGTTCCCATCAAATATCAGCAGTTCCAGATTTTTGAAAAGAACTAGGTAAGGAGAAATAATACCTCTTCTCAGATCACGAATTTGTGGACCTTTTGGGGCACCACCATAAATACAAGTGCTCCTTACATTTGCACGTGATCCAAATTTTAAAGCTTCTTGTTGAATCTGAACAGCTAATTCTCTGGTTGGAGCTAATATTACTACAATGGGACCTTCATTTTGCGCTGGTATTTATTAATTTTTGTCACCATAAAATGTAATCATTAGAAATTAAATTCATACAAAAGGTAAAATTAAATCATCACAAAAAATCTACTAGAGAGGGACTTACCCAGCCGGGGCTGAGCACTAACATGAACCAAAGCAGGTAGCAAATAGGCCAAGGTCTTTCCTGAACCAGTCTCAGCAATGCCAATCAAATCTCTACCCTTTAAAGCCATTGGCCATCCTTGTGATTGAATCGGAGTTGGTTCAGTAAAACCCAATCTAGCAATAACCTCAAGGCAATAATCTACAAAACCAAACAAATTCATCAGCTTAATATTATTACAGAAGTTATTTCTTAAAGCTACAATATAATTCCCCAGCCATGAGTGTGATTTACGCATGAGAGATGGTTGGCCCTCTTTGTGGGCCCCACAATGCGAGAACACACACATCTGGAACCAGACAATCATGGCATTCTTTATTCTTAAAGCGGGAAGGTTATTCTAAAGACATAGTAATACCAGGAAAACTTGCTTCTTGAAATGTTCGGATTGGCTTGGGTATATCATTGCCTTGAACAGTAATATCCCGCCTAGCACGATAACTTGCAACCTCTTGCTCAGTCATTGCTCTCACAGACGGGCTCTCTACATAGAAGTCCTTTCTAAAAGGAACCAAGTTATCAAAATCTTGCCTGGGAAGAGCAATGTTATCTAAGTCATCTCTAGGCCTACTCCCTCTCCAATCACTGCCACCACGACCTCCATGAAAACTGCTCCTACCTGCACTAAGCCCACCGCTAAAATTTCCACCTCTCCCATTTCTACCTCTGCCACGACCTAAATCAAAACCCCTCCCGGAAACACCACCTCCTCTTCCACCATCACGGCTTCTTCCATCACTCCTGTCTCCAATCACTCCATTGCTAAATCCTCCACCACGGCCACCTATACTGTTACCATGGGTAACATCGAACCCTCTTCCAACACCATGCTCAAAAGAAGAATTCCTTCCAAAAGTACCAGCACCACCTCCTTCAATTCTCTCACCCCCCCTCATAGAAGGAGGTGCCACTGGAACACCTCCGTACGGAGCTGGTACTCCATGGCCATAGCTTGGTGCATCACCACTTGGTGGTGGAATCACAAACGGTGGCTGTCCCATCAAATCACTACAATCAAACAGAATATTACATAACCATTACGTGCATATTCACACATTTATATACATAAATGCTCATGTAATCAAAAGAAATCATTAACCAA